AGCAAAAGGTCAAGCTGCGCACGGCCCCTGGTCGGATCCTTCAGCACCTGTGTCAAGAAGTTATCCCCAACATTCTCCAAAAACTTCCTGGATTGCCTGTGTACTGCCATATTGGTTTCCCAACAGATGTCAGGGTGAACCAGGGCCTGCAATCTGGAAGCTTCTCTCAGTTGTCCGAAGAAAGCCTCATCTTCCTGATTCGGTGGCCTGTAGTACATTTCTTGATATGTTCCTGATAAATGTTGGTTTCACCCAAAAGAGATAAGAGCTGTATGCCACCACCTGAAAAACTAACAACACATGACCTTTGCATTCAGATACTATGCCTCCACTGAACTTTCCCTTCCACTTCAAGCAAATAACGTGTAGCTGACAAAATGTATTTCTCAGTCAGTACTTGGGGACACAGTCACTGGAGGAACTGGAGTGCAGCACAGTGGGAGAAAGGGGGCCCAAAGGATCAGGTTGTGAATCCCTGATGCTGGGGTTAGCTCACTGTCCTAAAATATTTTGGTACCTATCATGCTATCTGCCAGCTGAGGATTGCATGAGTTTTATAGCCATGTTCTCTCTGGCCTTGTCAGGGACAGTGTGGGGCTGAATAAAAGAGCTGAGGGGGAAATGGTAAGGGTTATTTTTGTCTCCCCTCCTCCCTCCGGCAACTTTTACTTTTAGCTACAAATCTAAATCACAAATATTTTGATTTGGAAATATGGGGTCATAACGCTTTGTGCTCCCATTTTTCTTTAAGAGGTAGGGTCCCTTTCCCATGACGGACCAAAGGTGAGTAAGAATATTTATTCCCTCTCTATTTGGCACTGGTGTGACTATTGCTAGAATACTCTGTCCAGTTTTGGACATTCACAAATTCTGAGAAACGAGTGGATTAAGAGAAGAGCTATAAGAATGTTCAGAAGATTGAAAGACACACCTTATAGCAAAAGACTCAAGGAACTCAATTTGTATAGCTCATCATAGAGAAGTTTAAGGGACTGATTTGATCACAGTCTCTGAATATCTACATGCGGACCATAAATTCGATAATAGAGGGCTTTACAATCTAGCTAACAATGGTTGAACATGATCCAATGGCTGGAAGTTGAAGTTGAACAGTTTTAGGCTAGAAATAAGGTGCAATTTTTTAATTGGAGCAACCAGTAGGACCAACAGACCTGTTGGGCCTCAGGGCAAGATCTCTAGATCAAGCAGGAATTAATGCAGGGAATTCCTATTGCCTGTGTTATATAAGAGGCCATATGAACTTATCACAACGGTCCCTTCTAGGTTTATATTTCAAGAATCTGTTCTTACCAGGGTCCATTTGACCTTAGATACTCACTGCACTCCATAAGGATACGTCGACACAGAAGCATTATTTCGGAGTAACTGACGTTATTTTCTTACTCCAGTTCCTGTAAACCTCATTTCATGAGTCGTAAGGGAAGTCGACGGAAGAGTGCAGCAGAGTATTTTCTCATTTCTGTTAATCTAATTAGTTCCAAAGCTTATCCCAGACTGAGGAGTCCTGGCAATGCAACTCCTACAGGGTATGTCCACACTACAAAGTTAATTCGAACTAACAGACGTTAGTTCGAATTAACTTTGATAGGTGCTACACAGGCAAACCGCTAGTTTGAACTTAATTCGAACTAGCGGAGCACTTAATTCGAACTAGGTAAACCTCATTCCACGAGGACTAACGCCTAATTCGAATTAAGTAGTTCGAATTAAGGGCTGTGTAGCCATTTAATTCGAACTAGTGGGAGGCTAGCCCTCCCCAGCTTGCCCTGGTGGCCACTCTGGGC